GAACTTAGACCAAGTATGTGTCAGGCATTGAATTCAGTACTGAAGGTAAAGAAATTAAAAGACAAGTTATCATCTGGGCACAGTGGGATAACATTCCAGTGTAGAACTTTATTCCATCAACCGACATGTATCAAGCCCCTGCTCTGGGTCAAGCACCTGACTGGGCACTGGAAAGACCAAGAGGTGAAGAAGTCCCACTCCCTGCCTTAAGGAGTTCACAGTGGTGTAGGTGGGAAGCATCCATAACAGAGGTGCCTATATAATTAGGAACAGGATGTGTTAAATCTGCCTGGAGGGGATCAGCACAGTTACCTTTCACTGCCAGCTTTAAGCAAAGAGCAGCAATAATTGATTGATCAGGGAGGCTATAGAATTCCTGCATTAAATGGGACTTTTTTTTTTTTTGACAGAATCTTGCTCAGTGACCCAGGCTGGAGTACAGTGGTGCAATCTCGGCTCACTGCAACCTCCACCACCGGGGTTTAAGTGATTCTCCTGCCTTGGCCTCCCAACTCCCAAGTAGTGGGATTATAGACGCTCAACACCAAGTCCAGATAATTTTTGTATTTTTAGTACAGGTGGTGTTTCACCATGTGGCCAGGATGGTCTCAAACTCCTGACCTCAAGTAATCTACCCGTCTTGGCCTACCAAAGCGTTGGGATTACAAGCATGAGCTACCATGCCTAGCCCCAGTAGGACTTTTTTTTAGGTAATAAATTCCTGAATCCTACTCTTAGGAATCTCTGTATATACTTCTTTAATGTCCTAGAATCTAGAAAAGAGGTTTTTTCCAACCCACTGATAAGCACTGGATTACATGACATTATGACAATTTTAAGATTATATGTGCAATAAAATGAGAACAGAACTCACTTCACATGATGACTCTCAATATTTTGTGTTCTATTATCCCCAAAGTACTTTAAAAATTCAGAAGCAATAATTGCTCGATAAATGGCAACAACTATTGCTGCTGTAGCTGAGTCTAGGGCTGCAAATGTCTATATAGGGCTCATCAGGATAGACCAAGGCCCATCAGCAGTTTCCCACAGGAGGTCCCAGGAGAGTCTGAGGGGACTTCACACACAGCCCTGCTGCTGCCTAGGACATACTCTTACCTGGTCTTGCTCCAGTCAGCACAAGCCAGCTCGAGGCACACCTGCCTCCTGGGTCCCTTGCTTGTATCCATCCTCTTCAGTTCTGCCCAGACTGGACCAGGCATGATCCACTTGCAGGCTCAGTACAAGGACCAGGAAGAGCTGAGATCTAGTTGTGAGCAGCCGCACATAGGGATTTGTGCAATTTTAAGTTCCAGACAACTGTTTCATGGTATCTATGCCAACAAGTAATGCAGAAAAAGCACCAACCCAAATTGCCCCACTAGGTCAGGAAGCAGAGCTGGTAATACAAGCACCTAGGAGGCGGAGGTAGCAAGGAAGACAGAACAGGTCAAGAAACCCATTAGCAAGAGCAACTCCTTCCTTAGCCCTTTATCCTTCCCTGGTCAGCAGGGGAAGGTCTTGCCTGCTCTTTTCAAGACCTGCCAGTAGAGGAAGATCTTGCTGTCTTTTTGGTGATGAAAAAGGACATGCGTCAGAAATCCCAAATGTTACCTTTGAATGTAGGCGCCCCCGATGATGCCTATCTTTCCCTCTTACCTTTGATATCCTTTTTCATACTACTTTATTTAATGCTTAACATGTTACACAACATATCAGCCCTCTGAGTTGTGCAATCCAGAAGGGTGGCAGCACAGAGTAGAAAAACTGGTCTAACTTCAGTGAGACACAGATTACACAACATGATGAACAAAATACTAGAAACAAATACACACATATTCCCTTGGATTATGTAACTAATAAGTGGAACACATATTTGATCGGAAAATAAGAAAAACAGATTTCAAGCTTATGCCCTGATCCTTCCTTCTTGGTTATGCCATAAACATGAAAGTTTTCATTGGTCTTTTCTCTTGTTTACAATCATGCTGCATTTCAGATTGATACTCTACAAAGTGATGACTGGAACTGTTTCACCTTACTTTCTTTCTTCGTTACCTTTCATTACATGAAAGGGTTGATAAGACTTCAAAACTATATTACTTCACTCTTAATATTCAATGAGTTTGACTATAATTTCACTTCTTTCAATGACAACTATCAGTAAGCAAGAATTACATTCTCACCTTCTTGTTTTCTTGGGTGTTTGGGGAGGGGTTGAAATGGTTGAGGGCTAGCCTGGGTTGGCACTAACATTGCTCTCATAGGAACTTTCAGAGGCAGTGGAATGGGACATATGAACTTGGAGCGGGTAGACCTGGATTCTAATTCTGGCTCTATAGCTAACTTGGCCATCAGTTGAACCCTTTTGTCCCTCAGTTTTCTACTCTATAAAATGAGACACGACTATCCTGTGAAGCAAGTGAGGACGAGCACTCTGCACAGTGGTGAACACAGCTTTCAGTGGAAAGCCCTAAGGAGTTAAACAGCCTTGGCTTCAAATCCCAGTCCTGTCACTTACAATGAGACCTTGGGTTTGTCACTTTAAAATGCTCTGTTTCCATCTGAGTCATACTCCAAGCTTTCACACCTGTGCTGAGTATGAAATGAGAGGCCATCAGTCAAGTGTCACCAGAGGTGGTTGATCCCTGCACGATGTGCCTTACAGGTACTTGTCGCTCAGACATCTGCAGCATGAATGGTCCTGTAGATCACAGATTTGAACACAAGTGCATGAGACAGACTGCCTCTAAAGAACTTTAAAGGGGACTCATGGCCGGCAAGACTCCGGAGCTGTAATAACTTCGGGTACATTTGGGCATAGCTGAACCTATGCACTCTTAGGAGCGCTGACTGTTTAGGGGGTTGGGGGAGATGATAATCTGGCCAACAGCTAACGGCTAAAGCAGAAGCACCAACTCCCCACTTTTTGCTGATACATCAGAACCCTGCTTTGCTCCAAAAAAGGAGTACCGGGGCTTAGTAAGAACCAGGTGCTCAGTGCTAGCAACAGTGGAACCCTGTGTAGTGACCCCTGCTTTATTTTAAATCTGCCAGCGGCCCCTTCTGCGCAGTATCTGAAAAGCCCGCTTTCAGGTCGAAGCGCCTTCTTGAGCAAGACCTGCACCTCTGCTGGCAACGAAGTGGGGACAGGGAAACGATGGCGCCAGCTATCCAAGGCGACCACCCTGGAAGCCTGCAGTCGCGTTCTGCGGGGAGGTGAGCCTTCGTTGGCCACGGAGACCCCGGCCCTGTGGCCGGCAGCTGCTGTGCTGCGACCCAGCCTCAGTATCACAGCATCCCCACCCTCATCGCGTTCCGCAGGAAAAAAAAAAAAAAAATGCCTCGCCCTAATAGTCAGCAATGGGGAGAGTGACTGATCCCCAATTAGTGGTGGGAGTTGGGGAGCGTGGCCCCGGGCCCTGCTGGAGCCTAAAGACGCGCGATTACAGAGGAGGAAGAGCCAAACCGAGTCCGGATCAAGAGACCGGCGCCCAGATCTCGGCGCAGTTGGGAACATTCAGCACCCGTCGGGAGAAAAGTCTGAGGCAGAGGAGAGCAAAGGGAGCCAACGCGGGCACAAGTGATCCAGGTGCAGCCGAGGCAGTGCCGCCGCCCCAGGCCTTGGTGTCCCGATCTGCAAAGTGAGGACGGAGGATCGAAGTGTCTCCCGACCCTGCTGTTCCTCCAGGAACAGGGAATCCGGCTGAAGCTGCCCGAGGCTCGGGGACCGGAAAAAGAGGGAAAGACAACAGGGAAGAGAAAGGGAAGAGTGGGTGGAAGACCGAGAGGAAAGACGGCGGGGACAGGCTTGGCGGGTTTTCCGCCTTCCTCCTCTTCCTCCTACACCTGAGTTCTCACCGGGGGGCCAAGGCCCCGCGCCCGTGGAGATTAGGCACCAGGAGCCACGCTTCTCCCTCCTCACACCAGTGTCTGCAAGGCATGGGGCAGAGGGTGGGCAGCACAATCATGCAAGTCAGGGGTGCAAGCTGGGAGGTCGGGCTGGAGTCCGAGGGCAGGTGAGCCGGCCTGGGGCTGGGCTGGGGTGAGATAGCCCCAAGCGAGGAATCCGAGGGCGCCAGCGGCCGAGCCCGCGAGCCCTGGGCGAGCCAAATTTTGTTCCCCAACTTTGAGCAAGGGGAGAGGGTATATGGGAAAAAAAAAAAAAAAAAAGGAAAAAAAGTTGCCGAACTTTTCCCCCAACTCTGCCGCAGAGGGGGGAGCGGAGGGCGGCGCCTGCACCGATTCGCCGGCGGCTGTGGTCGGGAGGCTCGGATTGGCGCGCGGGGGCCGGGGCCGGGGCGAGCGGGCTTGGGGGAGGGGAGCGGCCCTCCCCGCCCGCGGGATCAGCTCGCGCCGGGAGCGGGTTAATTTCAAATCGGGGGCTTGGCTGCTCCTGGACGGTCACGCTTCCTCTGTCCGCCAGCCGGCCCGCCAGTTCCGATCCCGGCGTCTGTCTCCGGCACCCACCTCGGCGCGGCGGAAAGACGGACTGACTGCCAGGTACGCGGGCTCCTGGGCCTGAGCCGGGCAGCGGTGCTGAGGAGTCCGGGCTCAGCCCCCGCCGGCCCGGGCCATGAGGTGGACTGACAGGTCAGCGGGACGCAGAGGGGCGCGGCGCCCGGGCGGGTGGTGGCGGGATCCAGCGGGTGGCGGCGGCGGCGGCGGTGGCCGTTTCCCGCCTCCCGCTCCGCCGGGGGCCGTGAGGGAGGAGCTGAGCTCCCGCGCAGAGGGGCGGGGGCGAGCGAGGGGGAGGGGCGGGGATACAGTGGTTCCGGGCGCGGGTTTGCCCGCGCTCAGTCCCCGCGCAGCTAAGGGGAGGCGCCGGCCACTGCCCGACTTTCCGCGCCAAATTTTTAAATCGAAGGCGGAAGGTCCGGCCCCGCCCCTGGCGCCATCGGCCAATCGCAGGCCCGCGGCCGGCCGTCTGATTGGTCGGGAATCGTTGTCCTGGAAACCACAGTGATGCTGTCCGGGAACTGTCGGACCGGCGGGAGGGGCCTTTGACTGAAAGGAGGGGAAGTGCACGGAGAGAGTGGCGGCCGGGGGACTGTACCTGCTTGCCTTATTGGGCAAATGCAGCCTTCCATGGTTGAGTCTAACATCGTGGTGTGAACCGGCCGCCCGAATGCGAGTACGTAGCGCTTTGTATCTTTAAGGAACTCCCTTTATTAAATTTAAAAAAATGAATCTTAAGTATAAAGGACTCTTTAAATGCCCAGCTGTATGCTCAGAGCTTTGGGACTGAATTTGGAAGTTTCCTGTCAAGCAGCCTCCCACAACTTTACTGCTGAGACTGTGCACGTGTGTTTAAGGGGAGAAATCCGGGCATCTCGATGCAGACTTGTACCCAGATACCTGGTGTCGCGTGCGCTCAGCCGAGACCTGGGCTCGTGCGCTCAGTCCGGAGCCCTGATCTGCGAACAGGTGGGTGCTTGCCACAGTCTGTTTGCTGGGGTCCGGAGAATGGCCCGCCTTTTCTACAGATGGGAGAGGGCTGTCACTGGAAATTCTGTGGGTTGCTTGACGTCTTAGGACAGCCGATCCATTTTGCTGAAGGATACTGGTATTTGTTGGCGTTCTCCCCACAGTGTGGTGATCTCTGGTCGAGAATAAAATGTAAATCTATTTTGTCATTTTTCGTTAGTCTTTTGTTTCCGCAGCCTGTAGTCCGTGAAGGAATTTTCAACAGATCTTTTGGTTCTTGTTTTTCTCTAACTTTTTCTATTTCCTTTTTTCTTTAGGGATATTAAAACTTTTAGTACAATTGATTGGACTACTTGAAACATCGGGATTTGGGGAGGAACTCCAGATTTTTCCTTTTTAAACTCTAAATGTATGAGAAATTAACAGAATGGAGAATGAAAAGGTACTTTATAACTTCAGTATTCATCATTGCAGTTTTAAATGCAGTATCATCCTGATTCATAATTTTTCCCTATCCAATATATCTTATTAATGCCACATCCTTGGTTAGCCTCTGGGAAAACCTGGAAAAAGTGAAACTTGAATTTTTGAAGAGGGGTAGGTTTGCCCCTTTACAATCTTTCTAGTTTTTAATGATTTAGTAGCTGTCTCAAAGACAGGAAAAGGTATTTTTAAGAATAATAAGACTTGTTAGTTTCATTACAGCATGTCTGAGGATTCTTGAACAACTGGAATTCAGAAAGGGCATTTGACAAGATTGGAGACTGAAATTCTTTTTAATATCTTTTTTTTTTTTTTTTTTTTTTACCAGATTGGAAGCTTCTTTAACTATGGGGGCTGCAAAATTCTCTGTTTATGGGGCAAACATTTTGTAAAATTACAAAAGATTCATCTGTGGGGAGTGTCCAACTACTGATAGGTTTTAAAAAAAAGTGAACTTACATGTACATTTCCTAATAGTTTTAGATGTTAGTCAAATAAGAGAATTACTATTGCTTCTGATAATCTGAGGCAAAGAAAAACCCTTTTCTCAGATCAGCACATCTCAGATACACATGCTGGCAAGGAGCTCCTGTTGAGTCCACCACACTGACTTCCTGGTAAGAGCACCATACTTGGAGTGAGAATATCTGGATTCCAGTCCTGTGTGACCTCTCTCAGCCTGAATCTTTTCTTCTGCAAGATAGGAATGCAGGTTTCTATGAACATACAAATGGAAATGCACTTGATAAACCCAAGATATCACAGTATGTTAAATAGTCCCGTTAATCCATGTTCTTAAAGTTATTTGGTCTGCCTATTATTTTTACTTATTGCTTTTCCAAGCATTTTCTTTAAAATAGATAAAGATAGGAGTTAATGTGTGAAGTCCCTGGTGTCTAAAACTGGAAAGAACATAGTCTCCATTCGCCTTATTTACGAACTGCTGTTGATTTCCCCTTTGTCTCAGTGGCTATCCTGCTTCTGCCAGGATCTGGCTTTGTGGTCTTAGGTAGCTGTTAGGTTGGGGAAAACGTAATTGCTGTTTTTGCCATTACTTTCAATACCAAAAGCCACAATTACTTTTGCACTAACCTAATAATTTTACTTCTCTGGATCCCATTTTCTCCACCTGTAAAGTGAGGGGGGGTAGATGTTCAAAGAACAGACTTTTCTGGTCAGAAATCCTGCTGTTGGGCACTCTGGATTTTCCTGGTAAATCTGACCACATGCTATCCCTCATCCTTGTCTCCTTGACTCTCTGACTCTTCAGTGGTATTTTATTTAGCACCCACTGCATGCAGCCATTATGCTAGGTGGATAAGAGTTTCTGCCCTGGAGGTCTTTACTTATTACAGTGTCATGAGTAAAAAAAGTCACTTCTAGGAGTTTGAGATCACTTAATATTGTTAGTCCAATTAGGGGAAGCTGAGTGAAGGGCATTTGGGAATGCTATACTGTCTTTGCTACTCTTCTCTAAATCTAAAACTATTTCCAAATACAATTATAAGTCCTAACTAAAGTTGTTTTTTCAGTGGTTAAAACATAAGGTGAAAACATTTATGCCTTATTGCAAAATTAAAAATGGGAAATTTAATTATTAGAATGGACAATACATATCACATGACCATCCGAATACAGTTATTAATTCCATCAGCTCTACAATTTCATTAGACATTTTTTTCGTTGGCATGATTCTATTCAGTGTACAATTTTAGAGTCCAAAGCTATTTGATAAATCCTGTTTTACTATGGATTTAATTATTTACATTTTTTAACCAGGAAAATCTCTTTTGTGAGCCACATAAAAGGGGACTAATGAAAACACCTCTGAAAGAATCCACCACAGCAAATATCATGTTGGCAGAGATCCAGCCTGACTTTGGCCCTTTAACCACACCCACCAAGCCCAAGGAAGGCTCCCAGGGAGAGCCATGGACACCGACAGCCAACCTGAAAATGCTCATTAGTGCTGTGAGCCCTGAGATCCGCAACAGAGATCAGAAAAGGGGGTTGTTTGACAACAGAAGTGGATTACCTGAACCCAAAGACTGTTTACACGTAGGTTTTCAGAGGACTGTTGGAGACTGGGGAAATTGTTGGGGGTGTGTAGCTGTTGGAGAAGTGCCAGTAATTTAAAGCATCACCACCCCAAGGCTGTTATTAACTTCCTTCAGAGCACCAGAAAGGTTTGGACCCCAAGAAATACAGCACTGGGAATTCTGAACCTTTGCACTACTTTCGTTTCAGGCTTTCCTTTCAGGTTTGCCAATCATTTTGTACTGTCTCCCCGCAGCCTTTTCTCCCACCCAGACTTTGCAGCTGTTGAAGCTTTAGTCATCGAGCACAGATGCCCCTAATAAATCTGTCAAACTTTATTTTAGAATAACACATTGTTTACCTTTTCCTTTGTAGGAACACTTATCTGGAGATGAGTACGAGAAATCCCAACCAAGTCGAAAAGAGAAAAGTTTAGGATTATTGTGCCATAAGTTCTTAGCACGATATCCTAATTACCCCAACCCTGCTGTGAATAATGACATCTGCCTTGATGAAGTGGCAGAGGAACTTAGTAAGTATGCAAAGAACTCACTGAAAGAGTTAATAATTAAAGTGGCTTTATGGACTGAACTCCTTCAGACCCACGTTCATCTAGCCAGTGTGCTCATGGAGCCAGTGTTTGTAAAAGAAACAAATAAGACCACACTGAAATTTTCAATCTCTAAAGCCCTCTTCCAGTTTAAGAATGAAGACAAATAGTTGCAATTTTCAGCCAATCGTAGAGGCAGAAAAGTTACAATGGAGGTTGCTTCTGACTGCAGTTACTGCTGATGCCTTAAAGAAAGGCAACATTGTCTTACAACTTGTTTCACATAGTTACAACTGTGAACTTTTGCCTCATTGCTTTCCCTTGCTGTTCTTGAAGAATCAGGATGAATGGTTACCTTCCTAGTTGATGCTGAGGACCAGCTTCTGTGAGTGGGAACACAGGAACTGTGCGCTCCTGGACCTTCAGCACTATTCTGAGGACTAGTTTTCTGAATGTTTTGTGTTGGGCACAAGTTATTCCTCCTGCCCCTTTTTACTTCTCTGTTCAAAAACCTGAATCTATTTGGAGCTAAAAAGGGGCCTGTGGCAAATTTGGGGTACCTTTGGAGTCATGTGGGTATCTTAATCTAAATCTGTGAAGAGATGTGCTGTGCAAGATAATACATTTTAATACAAAGCGATCACCCCTTGAAGAAAAGTTGCCCTTCTAACACGTTTGTAAATATCAACTTCATTTCACATTTTAAGAATATGCCATTTAGATTCATCTAGTCTTCATATATGTTTAATGGTAGCTGGGTAGGATGTACCTTTTAATTCAGCAAATGTCTATTAATCACCTACTACTATGTGCCAAGCAATGTTGTAGGAGCCTGGGTACATCCATAAACAAAAAGGGCAAAATCCCTTCTCTCTTAGAGCCTATATTCTAGTGGGGCAATAGATACTGAGTTAAGGATATAGGAAGTAAGTAAAGATAATGTATGCTAGAAGGTAATACACACAGTGGAAAAAATAAATTGTAGATCAGCATAAAGGGATCAGGAGTGTTGGAGAGGTGCTTTGCCGTAAGTGGTCAGATCAGACTTCATTGAAAAGGTGACATCTGAGCAAGGACTTCAAAGAAGCAAGGCAGGGAGCTGTGGGGACATCAGGGAGAAGGGTCCCAGGCAGAAGGAACAGCCAGTACAAAGCAAGTGCATATCTGGCAGGTTCCAGGAACAGTAAGAGGTCAGTAGGATGCACCCTTATGAAATAGTGTTTTATAGAGCACTTCTCCAGAAAAGCTGATCTCATCAAATATTTAAATTGAAATTAAGTTTCTTGAATGAAGAGAATTCTAACATTACAGCATATTGAAAACCCAATTTAAATAGACATATGGGAGTCACAGAATTACTAATATCACTTTGTTAATGATAGCTAGTAAGCAATGATAGAAAGTAAGCAAAATTAGACCCAAAAAGGGGTATTTTATTTTTATGTGAGTTTTTAAAAACTACATCATGGTTTTTGTACTTTTCTGAAATCTCAGCATTTTGTTTCTATCATATGATCATTTTAGATGTGTGTATGTGTTTGTGTGTATTGGAAGGGTAATACAAGGCATGGGTTGGAAAATGTGAGATGTAGAGTTTTAAAGATTTGGTTTGCTACTTACTAGGTCTTTCAGGGTGAGCTGTTTGGCTGGTCTGAGCCTCTATTTCCTCATCCTTAAAGTGCGATCATAATACCTACTTCCCAAGTTTAGGGTGAAAACTTCCTAAAACTGTGTAGCGCATCTTAGGCCCTCATTAAATGTTGCCTTTCTAATTCATATTATTTGTACCCTTTGAAAGCAAGGACATGTCTTTCTCACCTTCACAGTATCTGTTGAGTATGTGCACTTACAGTTAGGAAACTTATATTATCTAGGATGTACTGACTAATAAACCATGGAAGAAAAAGCTATTCAATTCTAAACATGTCACAGAAATCCGTAACACACAACTGCATGTTCTTTGTAGATGTTGAACGTCGACGCATTTACGATATTGTGAACGTCCTAGAGAGTTTACATATGGTGAGCCGCCTCGCCAAAAACAGGTACACTTGGCACGGGCGACACAATCTCAACAAAACCCTCGGCACCTTGAAGAGCGTCGGGGAGGAGAATAAGTACGCTGAGCAGATTATGATGATCAAAAAGAAGGAATATGAGCAAGAGTTTGATTTTATTAAGAGTTACAGTATAGAGGATCATATCATCAAATCAAACACTGGCCCAAATGGACACCCAGACATGTGTTTTGTGGAACTCCCTGGAGTGGAATTTCGGGCAGGTGAGACATGGTAGTGAAAAACCCAGGCTGCGTGGTATTTCTCCTCTGTCTAAAGAAAATGCCTTGTGGAGAACATGGCTCTAAAGCCACCGCTGCTGCCTTTAGTGTTCAAATGCTGCAGTTGTCAGCTGTATGATCAGGTGGTGGTATTTTTAGCCTTGTTACTTTAGAAGTCTCTTGTCCCTTTATGAATTTTAATTCTCTAATCCTCATCCTTCTCTAAAGCTTCTGTAAACAGCCGCAAAGACAAGTCCTTAAGGGTAATGAGCCAGAAATTTGTGATGCTGTTTTTGGTGTCAACGCCTCAGATAGTAAGCCTAGAAGTTGCTGCCAAGATTTTAATTGGGGAGGACCATGTGGAAGATTTGGATAAAAGCAAGTTTAAAAGTAAGTGTCATGACTGCCATGGAGTTTTGAACGTATTCTTAAACAATAAACTCTCAGTCGTAAACTCATTTCCAAATCAGGAAACATAGGTGCATAAACAGATCTTCTCTAATTATGTTTTTATATCTTCACTTCTCCCCAGAAGCCACAATAATACTGATTTAGCTAATTTGTTATGATACATAGTGTCACTACTCTTATTTGACACATTGCTTCATTTGATATTGTAACATTGTTCTCATTAAAAGTAAACACTAGGAGAATCTGTTCTGTGTAAGCTCTAAATGAGGAGTAAATTGTAAAGGGGGTCTGGATCCCAGGTCTCCTTCCACTGATGCTGATATAGAGGGTATATAAATAACTTTGCTGGGCGGGGTGGCTCACTCCTGTAATCTCAGCACTTTGAGAGGCCAAGGTGAGTAAATCACAAGGTCAAGAGATTGAGACCATCCTGGCTAACATGGTGAAACCCCGTCTCTACTAAAAATACAAAAAAATTAGCTAGGCATGGTAGCATTTGCCTGTAGTCCCAGCTACTCAGGAGGCTGAGGCAGGAGAATCGCTTTAACCCGGGAGGCAGAGGTTGCAGTGAGCTGAGATCGTGCCACTACACTCCAGCCTGGGTAACAGAACGAGTGAGGCTCCATCTCAAAAAATAAATAAATAAATAGATAATTCATAAAATTTTCCCCAGAAAATTTTGAAAGAATGGTTCTAGCTAGGTTACCTGCTCAAAATTGGGAAGGAACTGTAGATTGGGTTCCTAACAAAGAGCTACGCCCTCACCATTACACCAGATTTTGCAAGAAGGGTGTGGAAAGAAGTGCCTAGCGGGTGGGGAGGGGCACTTGGCTTGGGAGATCTGCAATTTGTCCTGATACTACTGAGGGGTTACCTCCCTTTTTGAGTCATCAGACGGTTTTCAGCTCTGTTTCACTGGTTAGTCATGGCCTTGAAAACTATTCCAGGAACTGCAGATGTGTAAGTTACTGAATCCCCAGGGCATTCAGAACCTTCTGGTATGGCTAGGAAGAAGGGGACTCGATTCGTAATTTCTACTATCAAGACAGCAGTAAAAACAGACTTTTTGTGACAAAACTCTTTAAGATATGTGAGATTTGTCAAATTCATAGATCTATGTTTTGCGTATTACATAAAGACAGTATTAAAAAATTACACATTGCTGGAGTACAGAATTTTCCATGCTGTGATATTAAATAAATTTTGTTATAAGCTATTGCAAGCAGAAAAGCAAGACATTTGTCACTGATACTTTTCCCTGTTCATAAAATTCTTCTGAATCCTCATTAGAAGATACCCAGGAATGGTGACTTTTTATTTTTGAAAAAAATCTGTAACACAGTTTTAGATAGGGTGATCTCATCAAGTCATTTTTCCTTTGTCAACATATGCTATTGTCATTTCGAAATTGAGTACTAGCAGTAACTGAGTCTTAAATATTTAAAACTTTTTTATCTTAATTAAAGCTGTATCACTAGAAGAACTTAAAAGGAGGCAGATGTTTCTCTATCTGACATTGATGGTTAAGACAGCTCTTAGAATATACATGAGGTCCTTCTGAAGGAAAATTCTTTGATCTTTTATTATTCCATTAAGTGATATATAAACTTATATTTTCCAGCAAAAATTAGGAGGTTGTATGATATAGCCAATGTTCTGAGTAGCTTGGATCTTATCAAGAAAGTTCATGTTACAGAGGAAAGAGGCCGAAAACCAGCTTTTAAATGGACGGGCCCAGAAATAAGCCCAAATACCAGTGGTGTGTATTTTTTTATTTTATCCTTTGCTTTATTATTTGTGTGTGTGTGTGTGTTTGTGTGTGTGTGTGTATTTAATTTTTAATTTCCAGTGTATGTTGTTCCCTTCCCTGTGTCCGTGTTCTCATTGTTCAACTCCCACATATGAGTGAGAACATGTGGTGTTTTGGTTTTTTGTTCCTGTGTTAGTTTGCTGAGGATAATGGCTTCCAGCTCCATCCATGTCCCTGCAGAGGACATGATCTCATTCCTTTTTGTGGCTGCATAGTATTCCATGGTGTGTATGTACCACATTTTCTTTATCCTGCTTTATTATTTTGAATTAATATACATTGGGAGATATTTTCCCTTCCCCTTCCTACTCATAGCCCCACATGGAAAAGATATATAAATGATTGAAAAGACGATTCAAGACAAATGGCAATACAGAAAGTTTGGCTACTGGCTCCATCAGCAAACCAACATGCATAACCACCTCTCACACTGTATTAGAGAAATAGAATCTGTATGTTAAAGGACTCGGCAAGTTGAAAGCACCACAAAGCATAAGATACTATTGCTGCTGTGTGGCACAGTGACTGCAACGGAAACTTTGCCCATTGAGTATATGAAATGAGCTTACTCTGGTATCAAAGTAGATATTTCTAGTCTTCATCTTAAATCTGTGATGCTGACATTTTGCACTCTACCTAAGATCACCACCCAAAATCATTGAAAATGACAAGAACATGGGCCATGGAGACAAAGGGAAACTTAGGTTCCGATCCCAGCTCTGCCACTCTGGCTTTGTGGCCTGAGGCAAGTTACGTCTTTGAGGGTTAGTTTTCTCATTGGTGAAATGGGAAGAACTATGGCACCTCAGTGGAATTACTGTGATTTTGGCATAATCTCAGAGAGAGGTCCTTTGGTGCAGGAATTTGGAGTGAAAGTTCTGGGGCCACACTGACCAGATTCATATCCCAGGCCCACGTGCTCCCAGCTGAGAGACCTTGACCCAGTGGTTAATGTCTCTGTGGGTCAGAGTGCTCATCACTGACACAGGGCCACATTTCTTGAGGAAGGAGTTACCTTATAGAGCTGTGAGGTCACCCATATTTCATCAGATCTAAGAACTGACTGACTGACTGTAAGATGCACAGTTCTTTCTATATCACTAAGAAAGAAAAATCACTAATAACTACACTCTAGCACACCACTGCTTATAAGATATAGTGCAGTTTCTAAAATGCTAATATAGGAAATATTGTGTCTCAGAATTCATTTATTAAGATAAACAAGGCTTTCTCTGTAAAGCCCTTCGAATAGTGTCAGGCATGTGGTCAGTGCTCTGTAACTGTTGCCACTTTTATTCCTAAAATTGTTTTATTTCATATCCCAAAAGGAAACTGAGCCATTAGGTTTTAATACACAGACGTTTTCTGTTTCAGGCTCCAGCCCTGTGATTCCTTTCATTCCCTCTGATTTGGAGGTGAGTCGGTCTTCAAAAGAGAACTGTGCCAAAAATCTGTTTTCCACACGTGGGAAACCAAACTTTACTCGACACCCATCTCTTATCAAATTGGTAAAGAGCATAGAAAGTGATCGGAGAAAGATAAATTCTGCTCCCAGTAGCCCTATCAAGACCAGCAAAGGTATGTTTTCAGAAATGTCAGGGAACCTTTTATCTCATTTGTGTTTTGCATATTTGATCCTTAAAATCGTTGTCAGAGAATTACTTTAATATCTATATACACAAGCCCTCTCGAAGCCTAACTAATGTACAAATTAAAGGACAAAAAGTCATTTGTGGGGTTCATTGTTTAATTCCTATGCAACTTTGGGTGGGGGTTGCACACTTTCTGTTCCATTGACTTTGGTGAGGTTTCATCTGTGCGAACATTTATTCTTTAGCTTTGACTGATGCTCTCTTCCTTTCTGTTTTACCAGCTGAGAGTTTTCAGAATTCTGCACCCTTCCCAAGTAAAATGGCTCAGCTCGCCGCTATTTGTAAAATGCAGTTAGAAGAGCAATCAAGGTAGGTTGGCAATGCTCTTTAATAACAGGATAAATTACTTTTACATTACATTATTAGGATTATTTATTTTATACGAGAAGAAGCGCTAGCCTTAAAAACTGGAAAGCTAACCTTGTCTGTATCTCATACTCACTCATTATAGAAACTGTCTGTATCTCATACTCACTCATTACAGAAACCATCTGCATGCTCCATAAAAGTGTGGCTTCTATCTGAGGCTTAAAGTGATAGAACAGTTCAGAGAAAATGTATCTAATGTATCTCTATCGTGTCATATATTAAATCTTGTCTTTTAGTGAATCCAGACAGAAAGTGAAAGTACAGCTGGCAAGATCTGGGTCATACAAACCAGTGGCCCCTCTGGACACCCCGGTGAATGCTGAGATGGAGCTGACAGCACCATCCCTCATGCAGCCCCTGGGAGTGGTTCCCCTGATCCCCAGCCCATTGTCATCAGCAGTGCCCCTGATCCTACCTCAGGCCTCTTCAGGCCCATCCTATGCTATCTACCTGCAGCCCACTCAAGCCCACCAAAGTGTGATGCCACCCCAAGGCCTGAGCCCACCGGTCCACTCCACCCACTCTTCTAAGGCTACTGGATCAAAAGACTCCACAGATACCACCACTGAGAAGGCAGCCAATGATACCTCAAAGGCCAGTGCCTCTACCAGGCCTGGAAGCTTGCTGCCAGCACCAGAGAGGGAGGGGGCCAAGAGCCGAAACAGGGAGCTGGCTGGAGAAAGAGTCTCAAAGAGGGCAAGCATGCTTGAGGACAGTGGTTCCAAAAAGAAATTTAAAGAGGACCTAAGAGGACTTGAAAATGTCTCCGCAGTAAGTACAGCCTTGAACTGCACAAAGCATTAGGAATTCCAAAGTCTATTATAGGAAGATTGGTGGCTTGTGAAATTTACCAAAGAACATTCTCTCAGAAGACAAGGAACTGTTCCTTAGCATCCCATAATCCAAATGAGGCCCTTAACAGCTAATCCCCTGGCTGGGATGACGGCAGGGACATTTTTAACCTTTGGAGGAAGGGATTATTTGCTCTCTTTTTAAAGTATCATGGGTGGTTGTCCTTAAGTGCATTTCTCCATCACACACTGGAATGCAAACACCTGTCATGAAAGTCTTAAATAATTTACAAGCATATGTAACCCCAGATGAATGGATGGATGCACAGGGTTCCTGTAACTCCTGCTTTCTGAGTCATTACCTAATGTTTGCTTGATGTCATGTAACTGATATCTGTTGCCTAGAAGATAAATTGCTCCCTGTTTTTACTTTCTACCTAAAATTTAAATCAAAATTTATATTTTGTGTACATAGAAAAATCAAACTGATCTTGGCAAGTTTTAGATATAATTCATGTATTGGTTTCTAGAGATGTTGACACACTAGATAAATTTTTCTAGGTGGAGGTTAGTTCAGGAGGGAATTAACATTTATTGGATGCCTACCCACATATAGCAGACATACTAGGTATTAGTAACTTTTACATACAGTATCTCATTTTTCTCCCTTAGGACAATTATACATGAAAGACATTACTGTATCATCCAATAAATACCACTTACTGTGCAAGTAAAAGTTAATCTCTCAGCCAGGTGCGGTGGCTCACGCCTGTAATCCCAGCACTTGGGGAGGCTGAGGTGGGCAAATCACGAAGTCGGGAGTTCAAGACCAGCCTGACCAACGTGGTAAAACCTCATCTCTACTAAAAATAAAAAAAATAGCCAGGTGCGGTGGCCTGCACCTGTAATCCCAGCTACTCAGGAGGCTGAGGCAGGAGAATCGCTTGAACCCAGGAGGAGGAGGTTGCAGTGAGCCAAGAGCACACCACTGCATTCTAGCCTGGGTGACAGAGCGAGACTCCACCTCAAAAAAAAAAAAAAAAAGTTAATCTCTCATTTTGCCTCTGCTGGTTAATGCATTCTATTTTACTTCTCCCTGTCTTGTTTTTCCTCATCTGTAAGGAATTTATTCCACCAGTTTTTCCTCATCACCTACCTACAGGGTATAAAACACTGGTTCTCTGGATCAGATTTAACCCAGCATCTGCCTTTGGCGACAATTGCTTTGGATACTTGCCTGTGGCCATATTACAGTTTTTGTGGGGTTAAGTGAATTTATTCCATGATGATATATACAAAGGGGTTTGATCCTTTGTAGACGTGGTATCAGCTGAAAGGTATTATTATCTGTTATTGTTGTTTTTAAGGGGAAGCCTTAGAGTTTGTCAAATCTTCCCTGAGGATGGCCTCATGGTAACCATTCAAAACATCTATTATGTTACATAGTATCATTTTGTATTTAATGTATATGCTAAGGGGGAAATCAAAAGGCTTTGTCTGATTCAATTATCTGGAGGTTCATAATCTCTTTTGGCAAATGGGTATGATTTATAATAATCTCCTGTTGCCTACATAGTTATTCAGGATTAGAGTTTTCAGTGGATACATTTTCCAAGTACTCCAGCTTTTTTTACATATCTGCAACTTTAACCATTTCTTTCTTCTTTTGAGACAGGGTCTTACTCTGTCACCCAGAATGAAGTACAGTGGCATGATTTTAATTCACTTCAGCCTCGACCTCCAAAGCTTAAGCGATCCTCCCACCTTAGTCTGCCAAGTAGCTTAGACTATAGGTGTGCTGCCATTCCCAGCTAATTTTTTATTTTTGGGGGGAGATGGGGTTTCGCCATGTTGCCCAGGCTGATCTCAAATTCCTGAACTCAACAATCTGCCCTCCTTGGCCTCCCAGAGTGCTGAGATCACAGGCATATGCCATCATGCCCAGCCTACTTTAGCCATTTCTTTTTAGTCTGGCCTGAGCAAAACAGACAATGAGAGATGCATGTGTTAATCCATTCAACAAACTTTTACTGAGAATTTACACTTCTAGGGGTGGAAGGAAGACAAGTATGCAAATAAACACAAACATGTCAGGTAGTAAATGATAGGAATGAAGATGGCATGATAGGAGGAGGGGGTGGGAGGGCTACTGTAGGCTAGAAGAGATGACATTCAAGTCCAAATATGTCAGATTCACTCATTCTGCAATTTAATAGTTCTAATTTTTTAGAAAAAAAAGGGGGGAATTGGCATTATGGGTAAAATATTTTATAATGAATGTAGTTTGTTGGAAATGTAAAAAATTATTATATCACTATGGGTTTTACTAAAGACTTGAAAGAGTTAAACCAGCAATCAGAATAATTTGTACCATGAGAGAATGTAACTAAAACTAACAGAGAGTAGTTCTTCATCAAGCACCTAAATTTACCCCTTAAAAAAAATCTCTCTTCCTGTAGTTTTCAAGGCATCTACTAGTAGAGATTTTGAGTGGTCCCAAGCACCTAAGAAACCAAATTAAAAGCTTGTGATATACTTTCAGCTTTGTAGATCCTGAATTCCTTAGTTCCCAAGGAAAAGACATATTAACAACTAAATTAAACTGTTATTTTGACAATGGAGAGAAAAAAGGTCTAAAGGAAGATAAAAGGAGGGCCCTAGTTTATAAGAGCAGTTTTTAGCTTCTACCAGTCCCATTCATGGTAAGGCTAAAGCAGACTTTGCATGCAATTCAGCCACCCATGTAAACGTTTTGTTTGGTAAAGTACAGTGATCTAACAGGCATCGGGGAGGTACCTGCAGCCCTACCCTTGGGCCTTTTCTATTTGCAGTGTAACCTTATTGCCTAAAACGTTTGCTCAATGACGTGTGCATCTCTAATATGAATTAATCAGTTCTCTTATTCGTGATTTTTAACTCTGGCGTACTTTGCATATATTAAGACTGCTGATTATCATTAGAGCAAGCAGTACTTGAAAGAAATCTTTACTTATATAATTTGTTTTAAATCAGGGGTTAGCAAACTTTCTTTAAAGAGCCAGATAGTAGACATTTTTTGGGTTTTAGGGCCATAAGGACTCTGTTGCACCTATTCAACTCTGCCATTATAGCAGGAATGTAGCTATAGACAGTACATAAATGAATGAGTATGGTTGTGTTCCAGTAAAACTTTATTTATCAAAACAGGTAGGGAGTGGGAATTGGCCCATGGCCTATAGTTTATCCCCCTTTCGCTAAATCAACATCGTTTAAAGTGTTTCCTTTAAATACTAGTTCTCCTTAATCACCTACTGAAAATATAGTTGCCATATAGTTTGGGAAATGCTACCTGCTGCATGCCCCACTTGGAGATTTTTAATGCAGACCACCGTTAAAGTCTCTTGGAAGTCCTCTGATAAAGACACCATTTGACTTTGTTTAATTCAATTATATTTGACAAAAATCAGGTAATTCCTGTTTACATCCCATGGACCTAGGGTCCCTCAGGATGCCCTTTGGGAAATACCATTCTGTATAATTCAAGAATGATCAATTAGTACTACATCATACCAAGGAGTCCAATAGCAGGAGTTAGGTTATCAGTGTGAGGGTGGTGTGCTGGGTGAATCCTTACCCTACGCAAGGTCAGTGCCAGCATCCAGACATGTCCTAAGATCACAGGTGGCATTTAAGAAACAGATGTTCTGTATTATTCAGGGCAAGCATTGGAAAGGGTAGGAGGGTATTGTCCTCTAGGAACCAGGTGGCCAGCCTGCCTGCAGCCCATACCTCTGGAGGCTTTGGTCCAATGTGGCAACCATCAAGGGGTATTAGTCCTGAAAGAGGCACGTGGCCATTTTTCTTCCTGTATTTGTGTGTAAAATAAACCCTTCCTCCTTGTTTTCTAGACCTTGTTCCCATCAGGATACCTAATCCCTCTCACCCAGTGCTCATCCCTGGGGGCAGAGTCCATTTTGTCTAGTAAAGAAAACTCAGGTGCTCTTTCCCCAAACCACAGGATTTACAGCTCCCCAATTGCAGGTGAGTGCACATAAAACACTAACCAGACATGGGCCAGTCTCAAGTTCACTTAAGCCTTGTCAACTTCTTGGATAAATGCCTGTGCTTTTAAGATGTCTTCCCCCTTTTCTTTCCAGGTGTTATTCCAGTGACATCATCTGAACTCACTGCTGTTAATTTTCCCTCTTTTCATGTAACACCTTTGAAGCTAATGGTCTCACCAACTTCCGTGGCAGCCGTACCTGTCGGGAACAGCCCGGCTCTCGCTTCAAGCCACCCCATTCCCATCCAGAACCCAAGCTCAGCCATTGTAAACTTCACCCTGCAGCACTTGGGACTCATCTCACCCAGTGTGCAGATGTCTGCCAGCCCTGGGCCTGGACTCGTTCCTGTGTCTCCAAGAATAGAGGCTGTTAATGTCGTACCAGAAAATGCAGGCACTCAGCAAGGAAGGGCCACCAACTATGACTCACCAGTCCCAGGCCGGAGCCAGCCAAATGGACAATCCATTGCTGTGACAGGAGCACAACAGGTGAGAGGCTTTCTACTTAATTTATTTTTTCCTGGAGTTATTAAGTCCCAAGTATATGTGTCATAAGAGACTCGCTTATGCTTTCCCTCTTTAGAGAGGGAAAGGATGGGAGAGTGAGGAGATTGAAGGCCTACCTTTCTTCCAGAACCCAAGAAGAGTGTCCAAGGCACTCATATTCTTGGGTTATCATGAGATTTTTGTCTCTCCCTAACAAAAATAATTGAGAATGTAAAACGCATCAAAGCTTCCCTCGCCAATTTCAAGATACGCTGGTTTCCCAATGTGCAATACATCCATCCAGCCCAGCCTTCCAAGTCTGGTAGGCCTATGTATCTGTGTATGATTGACTTTTTTTGTCCAATTCTTCTCTTTCCAATCAGCCTATTCCTGTGACACCCAAAGGGTCACAATTAGTGGCCGAAAGTTTCTTCCGCACCCCAGGTGGACCTACCAAGCCAACCAGCTCATCCTGCATGGATTTTAATGGTGCTAATAAGACCTCCTTAGGAACTCTCTTTGTCCCACAGCGAAAACTGGAAGTCTCAACAGAGGATGTCCATTAATCAACAGATGTTGGCTTAGTTTAATTTTCTAAAGAGTTGTTTAATAGAGAAAATATACACAGACTGATTTGGAAAGCACATTCTCTGAAAATACTGTAAATACATTGGGGATTTGCTCAATGTGAAAGCAGATACTTGTTTTTGTACATATATATACACATACACTTATATTTGTATAAAGCTCAATTTAGCTTTCAATCCTACAAAATAAAAGTAAAATGTTGAATTCTAAGGTATATTAACTTCTAGGGGGAAAAATCCATTATTTTAGCTGTGCCTATACTATTACGGAAAGTAACTGTATTAAAGTTTACTTCCCTCCGAGTAAATATGTTTGACATGCCTAACACAGCATTCCCTTAAACATTTTGCACAAAGAAAATGCTGTGTGATGTATAATATTGTATTTTTAAATAGGGGTATAGCTATATTTTTTGTAATTTCTTTAATCTGCTGTTGCAGTGTATCTTTTTGTAAAGTTTGCAACAATCCTCAATCAAGTCTATGGAAAATTATTTATAAAATGTATTTTTAATCATAAGTTGTTCAAATTAAAACTTTTCTAAAATGTAGTTAACATTTTCATTTGGCCTGTTAGGGCACTGTTGGGAGAAAATTAAAATTGACCTAATCACAGAGGCAAATTCTTGGTAAAGAGTATCCACCCTGGGTTCCCTTAGATATGCCAAGTTTATAGAATGTTTCTACATTCTGTCCCCTATTTTGACCCTTCAGATTGCTCCACTTTTGCAGAAGTAAAATTGGCTTTGGAGAGGCTGTTGCTCGGCCAAGGACACCCAGCTAGGTCCCATGTGCTTCCTACCACACTCCAGGAGATTAGAAATGAAAGGCAGGTGCCTAGTGGCCCTGGCGTGACCATTGTCTGTCCCACGCTTCTTACTTTACCCAGAGGTGTGTCTGTACCGGCCCTCTTAACATACTTCTTGGATTGCTCAGCTCCAGGGATGGGAAAACAGCAGTAAGGATTCTAATGTCCTCCATTCCCAGAGAACTACTGCACCAAACCCCCAGGAACTCTAAGAGAAGGGATGAGTTCCAATGTGTTCAGTGTGCATCTTTTTGATCCCCTTGTTATGGGATTAATTGCACCTTGAGAATTGACAAGGGCCTTCCCTGGTCAGGGTCTTAAAGGAGCATCATAATATCTATTTCCTACATGTTTACTCTATGTAGACACAGTTACACACTTTAAATGTATCATACCTATGAGCTGCAACTGAGGCTTGCAGGGATTAAAGCCCCAAGTCCATGGTCACACTGATGGTATGCAAGTACTTGTGTATTGGACCTCGTTATCCATTGCCCATTTACTTCTAGAGACATGCCTGGCAGCTCTAGTAGGAATCAAGTACATTGAGTCGGGGTAATCTGAGCATTCATAAAGTCATCCCTTTCAAATACACATGTTTTGTTTGCACAACCAAGTGCAGCTAGGAGAGGGCAGATTTTCACCTTGACCTAGAAACCCCTCTTCCTCTACCACTAGAGAACCAATATGAAATATTTCCTCCAAAGGACCTTCGCCTTTGTTTTTATCCTTCTTGGAGAACGTGTGAATGGTCTCTGATTTAAGAAATAGCCCCTGCCTTTTAATAATAGACTTGAGAAAGATAGTATGTACACATGAATAAAGCATTTCCATGCAATAAGGAAAAGGTAAGTTGCCAAATGGTAGCTATAGACAAAATATATAGTTCTGTAGAGGCTACTAGATTTTATTGCTTACACAGAACTATGAGAGAAACACCAACCAAGACAGCTGCTGTGGCTCTGAGGAGGTTCTTACATCTGCCTCCTCCTCTTCTGTGGCTGAGCTAGAGAGATTGGAAGCCAAGGTTTCGTTTTGTTCCCCTCATCAATTCTCCACATAAAGAATTACCTTCCCAGGGAAAGTAGATGCATAGGAAGAAAGGAAGTCAGATATCCAGGCAGCTCTGGACACTGTTCCACCCAGTACTGCCCCTCTGACAGATTGGTGAGGTTGTCCCTTGATCCCTGCTTCCTGGTGTTTACACCCTCATGTTCTCCCCTCCCTTAGAGTGTGGTTGGGACCCATAACTTGCTTCTAACCCATAGGATACAGTAAAGATGATGGGGTGTGTTGTTATGTGATCATATGTCATAAGACTGTGGTACCCATCTTGCTGTCATTTCTCTCCCTTGATGGCTTTAAGGAATCAAGGCAGCCATGTCAGGAGGCCCAAAGTGGCAAGGATCTGTGGGCAGCCTCAGAGCAAAAGGCAGCCTGCAGCCAACAACCAGCAAGAAACTGAAATCAGTCCTGCATATGGCCACAAATTCTGTAAATAACCTGAGTGAGCTGAGAGTGGCTCTTTCCCCAGTCAAGCCTCAGATGAGACCACAGCCCCCACTGCCACTTTGATTGCAGCTTCATAAGACCCTGCAGGGGATCCAAACTAAGCCATGCATGGATTCCTGACACACAGAAACTGTGAGACAATAAATGTGTGTTTTAAGATGTAAGTTTGCGGATAATACTATTATACAGCAATAGGTAAATATTGCAGCCACATAACCCCCCATTGTTCACAAAAGTCATCTGGTTTGTCCTATTGTTCATAGGTTACATGGGCATTCATAGAAGGAAACATCCCTACGATGTGGTAATTCCAACAGCTTTAATGGGAGAAGCAGTCTCCATTTGTTTCAAAGCTGGAAGCAAGTTTAAAGATACCAGGTAGTAGCAGAGCAGTGGACAAAGTTATCTAGCCAGCATGCAATGGGAAAAGTTTCTTTTCCCAAACTGCCTCCTTATTTCCTCTAAGGAATGACATGGTGTCATTTTCTCAAACTGCCTCCTTATTTCCTCTAAGGAATGACATTCCTTCAAAAACATGTGTATTTGAAGGTAATTCTTTATGCTGGATGGAGCCCAGTGGACTAATTGGGAACCCCACCCATGTCTAACAAGGATGGACTTGTCATCCAGCCTGGGCCAGTCCTCCAGGATTGGATGTTCCATCTCATCCTAGCAGTGTTCTTGCTACCCGTTCCTGCTGCAACTGTTGCTGAGGCCCCTGAATCCCAGCCTTTGAAGTGGCCATGGCACCAGCCCATCTTCAAACCTGATTTTCAGCCATCCACTGAGTCTGTGGGCCTTTGCTATCCTTCCAAGAGTTTCTTTAATGTTGCCAGTCATTTCTGTGGCAGGTAGTCAGAAGGCTCTTACCAGATCACAGAGGGAAACCAAGAGCAAAGGCTTCCTAGTTCTCAGACCAGTTGTTTCCTGTTCCCTGGGCCTGGTAAAATTCGGCCAAAAAATGGATAGAAAAGGCCTTCAGAGATGCTTATCTCACCAGAAAATGCAAATAATTCGCCTATGCTCAAGTGGATGTAAAGTACCATTTCAAATACCAGAAAGGGAAATAGTTGAACTAAGAGATATAGGAAACCCAGGAAACTCAAGCAATAGAATTTAATGGAAAAAAAAATTGTTTTAATTGACTTTAAAACAAGTTCTCTCAGTCTTATCCTTTTCAAGTGATTAGTGTTCCTGCAGATAAAGGATAAAGAGACTTTCAGAACTTAAAACAGATAAGCTGTCTGAGCAATCCTACTAATTATATAAAAGAATGTGAGTTGACTGCAGATTCTTTATAGTATTTATCAGTAGTAGTTTTCGTATCTTAAGGGCTTAAAATAAGAGATAAGCTCAAAGGAAATGTGTTATTATTTTAGGTTGAAAAAGTATCAATCTCTTAATCAACTTTTTAAAAAGTGGTTTCAGATTTTAGTATCCCATTTGAGTGAACGCAGGCCAGTGACTTGCTCAATCAGATCAGCGGCTAAATGAGGACTTGGTATGATTTTCAGCATTTTGTAGAAAAATGTAGGTAGGAATGTATTATCAGTGTCCTCTAGTAGTCAAGTAATCAAGTGCATTTTTGAAAGGCCCTGTATATACTGAATTTTTTTCAAGTATTTACCAGTTTTTACCATGTGCTCAGCACTGTGTTGTGCAAAACAATGCCTATACTATCCTACTTTTGGTTAATAAAATATCCTCTATGTGTGAATCTTCTAGAAATTTGTCCTGAATAAGGACTTTTTTTTTTTTTTTTGAGACACAGTCTTGCTCTGTCTCCAGGCTGGAGTGTAGTGGCACGATCTCAGCTCATTGCAACACTCACCTCCCGGGTTCAAGCGATTTTCCTGCCTCAGCCTTCTGAGTAGGTGGGACTACAGGTGCTCACCACCACGCCCAGCTAATTTTTGTATTTTTAGTAGAGATGGGGTTTCACCATGTTGGTCAGGATGGTCTCAATCTCTTGACTTTGTGATCCGCCCACCTCTGCCTCCCAAAGTGCTGGGATTACAAGCGTGAGCCACCGCGCCCAGCCAGAACACTTTTATTTCAATTACTATGAATTAAAATCTTTCTAAAATAATAATACGCCTCCCATGTCCTAAATAGAGCACTGTACTTTGACTATAACCTTTCTTTCACATTTCAGAAATTCATGAGCACTGTTGCTTTGTTAAATTCCAATTCAACAGACACAGTTTAAACCACCTATGACAGGGTAATGGCTTCAGGGGCTAATAAAATGTATAGGTCTACATCCTCTTAAAATTCATAGCTCCAAAATATTACGCTGTCTCCAACTTTTATATCAGCTTCTACTTGTCTTGCCTCCCCTATCCTACTTTATATATTATTTATATCTCAGACAGACATTTGTATGTATATGTTTTTATATTACTTTAAGTACATATATCTATAAATATACATAGTATCTCTTTTGCTTTATATGAATATATATATAGATATGTATTGATATGTAAAGATTCATGGATACATATATGTGTTTGTTTCCTTCCTATATGGCAAAATGTCTTTACAGAATGGTAATTTATCTCTTCTGACCCAGGAAAACTGAAGGATCCCCAGGGAACTTCTGTCACCAAACTCATTTTTCTAAACCAGTAGATCTTGCATGTCCAAGTCAATAGATTTTGGTCTAACTGCGTAAGGAGGGCTCCATCCCTCTTCTGCAGGAAAAGGCCATAAATTGATGGCAGATGTTTCCCTTGCCAATCGGTGGTCTTTCTCACTATCCACACAAACTGGAACTTGTTGATACTGGGAATCTAGGACCATGATTAAACGCCAGAAATGCTAAATATAAATTACGTACCTATATTCATCATCAAAATTCAACACTTCCAGTGGTGTTCAAGGGAGAAAATACACTCGCGGGTTCTTAATTTCTATTTCTAGTTGAACCAGCAAAGCCCCTTCCTCGTCCCTCTTTTCTTCATATCACTAGAGACAACGTTATCGTTAAAAACGATAACATCAGGCTTCTAAAAGCCTAAAACAAAATAAAACAGAGCACTAACAACAAAATAAGGCGGGTTGAACAATTTTGAGACAATAATTTCTACCTGGAGACGTTCTGAGAAACAGGACAGGTCCTATATGACCCAGGGGAACAAGTGGCACTTGGGAGAGAAAAGGAATAATTTTTATTGAGCATCTGCTATTATATCTACTTCCAAACAATATTGCGAGGTAGCTATTATTGGC